TATCCATGCTGGTTGAGTGCAGCATAGAGCCAAAAGCTGCTGAGACACAGTTGATGCATTTCAATTACTCAGAGAAATAGGAAGTTATAATAACAAGAACTAAAAAAAAAAAAAAAAAAAAAAAAAAACCCCATAACCATTCACCAATTTTACTTCCAGAAATGTACCCAAGGCAATAATGGGATGCTCTAAAATTTGTCACAATTACTATTCAGAAAAAATAAATACATCAATTTCCTGTTACACGGGAAAACACAATGAGACTTTGTCTTCAAACGGAAAAAAATCCCAATGTAAGCAGAAGGGGAAAAAATACTAAAAAACTTATTTAAAATGAGCAGGTATACAGCACTTACTACAATTATTTTCCTTTCATTTTCTAATTTAAATTTGCCTAAGTTGCACTTGTTTCAACAGTAAACTGGGAGTGGAGGGGCAGGCCTTTATTCCCAGAAGAGGCAGGCCGATCTCTTATGAATCCAAGGCCAGTCTGGTCTACAAATAAGAGTTCCAGGACAGCCAGGGTTATATGGAGGGGCCCTGTCTTGAAAAGACAAAATCCACCAACCAATAAAAGGCCAACTATAGACTCATTAGTATCAGGTACGACTTGTTCATGAAATATATTTTGATTGAAGTTAACATTCTGCACTGCTTAAAATTTTGGAAGGTAGTAGTGCTGAGATACTGAACTTAGCTATATATTGCCAGCACTACTTGAAAATATTTAATAATTTTTAAATTATTTTTTAAATTTTTAAATTATAAAAAAATAATACTCCTTAAAAATTCTTACCAGGGTTTTGTAGATATAAAATGCAAATCTGGGAAACTACTGTTTTAGGTGCATTTTTTAAATTGACATCTGCGCATGAAAGGAATGATTCTTTTAATTACTAATAACTTATTTTCATGTAAATTCTATTTTCTGGTATCAAATCCTTTGAAGCCTACTTGTTTAAGCCAAACCTTTTCCAATTGCTTAGAGCAAGGTATGTAGACAGGCCTGTTATAAACAGAAAAAGTTAAAAAACAAAAGGTTTTTTATCATCATCAGGAGAAAGCTACTTCACTGTGGAACACTGTTGTGACTTCTTTCCTTCGTCTCTCCTCCCTTGGGTCACCATGTTTGGCGAGCGCTCTCACATTGAGATCCACTCCAACTCAAGGTCTTAGTTCCCGTGAATAGCACATTTCCCTGACTGCTTCTTTATAAAATCCACCCACCCCTCAGATTTCTACAAGTTTCAACCCAGATACTTTTACAAGCAAAGTTACACATAATATTGTTAAATTCAAGTATCAAGAAATCCTCTTCCCTAAAATTTCTTTCCATTTATCACATTTCCCCACAAATGCACATCTTCTAATCCCAGTCCTTAGAGAAACATTTTGCAAGATAAAGCCATGCAAATGTAAAAATTAGTTATATTTAAAGTCCTTTTGGCTTAACTGCGTATATTTCAACATGCATTAAGACAACATAGTAATATAACAAGCAATAGTCATTTGCTTTACTCCTGCTTTCTAATTTCATTACCAACTCAAAATTCTCCTACCATTTACCGCTGAAAGAAGAAAATTTCAAAGTAATTTCTGTTGATTTGTCCTAAACATACCCCAACTTACACTTTATTTTGGACAGCCTCCCCTACAATTTCCAAAAATCTATCCTGCATTCAATTTTGCCACTTCAGAGCCAAGTGCCACTCCCCTCACCGGGCTTTAACAATTCAGCTCCAGTTTCCAATCCCAGGCTTTCCCCTTCCTTACCTCCATCTTGAGTCACCCAACTGCAGTCAACCCAAAACTCCTTTTCGCTTGCTCAAGAAATGGGCCAGAAGGTGATTCTAACAAGGTATGGGGCTGGTGACTCAGGGGCAAAGGTGTGTAGGGCCAGGCCTCTGAGCCCTACATGCACACTGTGGCACATGGGCACACACACACCACCACACAGTGATAATTTCTTAGAACGTTCCTGTGTTATCCACGCCATCGCCGTAGTTCACGAGCACAGAGCCAGGGTTGCAACAAATTTTATTATTAACTTTACTAGTGAACTTTGAACTAGTATCTCACTGAAATTACCATGAAGAAACATTTTCATGAAATAAGTATTTCCTCCTAGACTCCAAGAGAAAAAGAAAAACTTGGTTCAAAGACATAAAATCATCTTATTGTAAGAAAATAAAATTTTTAAGTTTTTTTTAAAAAAACACTTAGATAAATAACACCAGCTAGAGCACCTAGCTATTATTTAATGAGCAAACACAGTCACTTCCCACTCCTGTTTCTCTTCAAATTCTCTCCTCTGCTAACTTCTTATAATACCATGTCAAAAACAAAGATACCCCTGAACAAATCTTAGATTCAGAATCAACAAAAGCCATGTAACTGGCTTGCACATAATTTTCAATCTGACAGAAAACCAGATCAAGCAAGAAAACAATGAAGTGGTAGGTTATAATTTTTTTTGAAATATAATTTATAATAGAACTGCATTCTAAAAATGCACAATTCATTGGTTTTCAGAATGGTGGACAACAGTGGGCCTTTATGCAAATCTGGACAGCCACAAAGGTGCACACATCATCCCAGCACTTAAGAGGCAGAGGCAGGCATTGCTGCAAGCTCAGAAACAGTCTGGGCTACAGTGTTACATGCCAGCCACAACTACAAAGACCCTGTTTCAACAAAGATAAAAAAGATGTGCACACAGCTGGGCATGGTTTAGTCCCAGCACTTGGGAGGCAGAGGCAGGAGGATCCCTGTGAGTTTGAGACCAGCTTGGTCTACAAGAGCTAGTTCTATCTAGGACAGCCTCCAAAGCCAGAGAAACCCTGCCTCGAGAAAACAAAACAAAACAAAATGTGCACACATCACCATACTTCCACAGCTTAGCCAATTAAAGTGGACTCACTAATACTTGGCAAGTCCTAGGAATCAGGACACACACCCACACACACACACCCACCCACACACACACACACACACACACACCCACACACACACACCCCTTTAAAAAAGTGTGTGATCGGATGGCCTGGAGAGACAGCTCAGCAGTTAAGAGCACTGGCTGCTCTTGCAGAGGACCCGGGTTCAGTTCCCAGTGCCCACAAGGTAGCTCACAACTGGCTGTAACTCAAGTCCTGGGGGATCTGACACCCTCTTTGGGCCTCCACAGGCAATGCATGCAGCTCATGCAGCAGGCACTCATCCATGCCAATAAACAAACAAGTAAGTACAGCGTGGTGGGTCAGAGGTCAACATTACACATCTTCATCTATTGCCTTCCATCTTACTTCTGGAGACAGACCATGCCCCCCTCACCTGGAGCTCACCCATTCAGTAAAAGTAGCTGTCTAGAAAGCTTCAGACATCCTCATGCTCCCGGGACCCAGAGCTATCACCACAGGCATGTACTGCAAACTCAGCTCTATACATGGGTCCTGGGATCCACACTCAGGTCCCCATGATTGTATAGCCAACGCTTTACCAAGTCGGCCATCTTCTCAGCCCAGGCAGAAACTTAAAAATACCTTGTTTCCAAAAGAGTTACATGGCTCAATGGGTAAAAGAACTTGCTCTTGCAGAGGAACCAGGCTCATTTCAGTTCCCAGTAAGCACATGGTGGCTCACAGCCACCCACTAACTCCAATTCTAGGAAACCTAACATCCTTTTCAGGCCTCTGCCGGTACTGCATACATGGTGCACATACACACACAGAGGCAAATTACTTATACACAAAAAATAAATTCTAAAAAAATCTAAGACATGTTAGAGTAATTATATAGTTATACCCTATATAGGTAGGGCTTTATAATTTTGCTTCAGCTAAAAATTAATGCTGACCAAGAACAAGGAAAAGACAAAACAGAAAACTCATGCTAAAGTACAGGAAGACAGACACTCGAGGTCTTTCAGAGGATGCTGACAGACTAGACTTGGTCAACTCCTGTTCTAACACAATAGCATACTTTAGAAAGGGGCAGCAATACCAGAAGAATAGGAAGGGGGTATACTGGATCAGGTCTAAACACAATAAGGCTTTGCTTGTCGTTTTTTTTCTTACTGTTAAGCCCTTGCATTAATTAACACCAGGAATAAAATATCCCCTCATCTTTGTATATTGTTCATGGAGACTTATAAGCGGTGGCTACTGCTGAGATTAACCAAAATACTTCAACGCCTAGCACGAATCCACTGAGTGCAAATTCATCAGGAAATACCCACTTCCCCACCACAGTTACAATATACGCATCCATGTTCAAAATAGGATACTCAATTGTGGATAAATGCTGTCAGAATGTTCCAAAAAGCCAGCTTTCCTTCAGTTACTGTGGGAAGAGACTGAGAGTTGGCAGGATCCAAATACAGTAAAATGCACTAACAAACTGCTAACACAATAGTGTGTTTCCCCTCCACACAATAAGATCATTCTGAATCCTTTTTCCACCCAGATTTCTCAAAACAGAATGATTTAAAAAAAAAAAAATAACATTGCAGGTTAAAATACAAGAGCAGCCTCGTCAGAGATCTAAATTCCACTGAACAATCATGACTAGCAATCACAGTGAAGAGGAAGGGAGGGCAGCAAGCCCCCTGCTTACTACAATTCTCAGGATAGGTGCTGAGTCAAGACTGACAGCAGAACATCAGCTCCTAACAAATACAGCTTCACCTGTCTGATTTTAAAGATACAATGAGTATCAAGCTACTCATGTTTTCCTTCACCCCTGTGGTCTGAGTCCAAACCGGGATCCGTTTCCCATTCTCTTACTCAAAGCACCCGACAGTGCTTTCCAGAGGCTGCTGCTGCTGCTGCAGGAAAAGGGTCCCCCATAATATATTTTCAGTTTAAATTTCTAACACATGCAGTAATACAGTTTGCCGTGGTCCTTAACATTTATGGATCTAAAGGAGTCAAAATGAAAAGTGAGGACAACTGTCAGAGTGGACGTGCACAGAAATACATTTGACAAAGTTTATTGTAGTTTACCAGCAAAAATGGATTCTCTGCAGAATTAACTCGCGAGCATGTTTAATACTATGCACAAGAAGCAACATATGTACAAACACAGACTCCATCTTTATTGTGCACAGGTCTCGGGTCTCATCATCAGTTGTTGTCTCTGACGGAAGTAATAGCTTGGTAAGGACAAAAAAAAAAAGGGATTTTAAAATTAAAAATAATAACTCGTATTTTTCATTTAAAATTTTTCTACATTATTTTTCTATCTCAAAGATCTTAATAGATAAATGGGAGAAGGCAGGCTGTTCCTTTAATGCCTAAGACAATAATTAACGGATTAAAAAATTCTACCTCCCTAGTGCTGAGATTAAAGGCGTGTGCCACACTTGCCTGATTAAACATTTCTGTAATTTTCATTCATTCCACAAACTTCAGCAAAGTTTTAAAACTTTTCGCATTGAGGAAAAGCACATAGCAGAGCACAAAGTACTGGCTGTAACGACCTGCCTCATTCCATCTTTCTTAAGACTTAAAATTTATCAGTGTGTCTTCGAGAGAATAAAGCACCCAAATACCAAGTTAATGAGTGCTTTTAGTAACCCACTTTCCTTCTTTACCATCTATATCAAGAGAGACTTCCTTGACATCACTCCCAATCCGTCCTTGTCCTTTTAGTCCCCAACTTCGTTCTCTTGCTGCTTTGAACTCACCTTTTCATATCCCTTCCCTGAATATGCTCAATTCTCTCCCTTTAAAGATTACTTCCCGTAACTGTGTCTGACTGTGCACCAGAGGAGGGCATCAGATCCCCTGAACTGGGCTCCAGTGGGTGCTGGGAATCCAACCGGAGTCCTCTCGAAGAGCATCCTAACCAAGCAATCAGTATCTCCCACCCTGAAGCTTTGACTTTTATCTAATAGGGACTAGGGTCTACAAACCTATGCATAAACACATAGCCTGCCACCTCTAGTTCACTGTTAGCCTCCGTCCTTCCCATCACCCATAAAGCAGCCGTTTCCTCTAATCACTCAAAACAGAACCACCAAAGATTACATTTGACTTACTTCCTTATCCATTCAACCCTAAACTTCAAATTCCATTACCCCTAAAAGGTTCGGAGGCCCTAAATCTTTCATCTGTTGACCACTCCCATGGTCAAATCCTGACTTCGACATTAGTTTAGAAAGGTGCCCTTGGGTAAATTATTATTTAACTTCTTTAAAAAAAAAAATCAGCCCCTCCAAGGACAGCCTGGTCTACAAAGCAAGTTCCAGGACAGCCAGAACTGTTACACAGAGAAACCCTATCTCAGATGGCTGGCTGGCTGGCTGGCTGGCTGGAAGGAAGGAAGGAAGAATATTCGCCTCTCTATATGTAACTAGATGTCTGTGCAAGGCTGTAGGAATATGTATCTGTTAAGCTAGACATATATATAGTGTCTGACAAGCCAAACATGCTCTAGTAGGTATTTTCTTTCTCTCCCCCGAAACCCTGAATTTCAACCAGCACCCATATGAGTGACTCTGCCTGTTTTGGTTACTTCTGACTCTAAAAACTACATGCCCATTTGCTTGCCAAAAATATCCATATGACTATTCCACACAGCAGCAACTTAACCTACTTCAAAACCAAATACATTTCTTCTCCACTAAACATTCTTTTGAAGACTGACTTGTGTTGATGGTACCATCACTATCTCAGCATATAGAATATAATGACAAAAGGTTTTTCTATTTGTTTTCAAGTCAGGGTGTGGCTTCGGAGCCTGTCTGGAACTAGCTGTTGTAGACCAGGCTGGTATCGAACTCAGAGATTCCCTTGCCTCTGTTTCCCTAGTGCTGGGATTAAAGGCGTGCACCACTGCCCCACTGACAAAAGGTGTTTATATAATTACCAGAGACCAAGGTCCATTCATTCCTTTGGCCCACATTCTTCCATGCCTCTCCTGAACTATGCCTGCCTCTCCCAGACCACACCACTACAAGCTAAACACAATCTTGCTATTGTAGTACTTAAAACCTTCAAATGTTTCCCCACAGCCTAAAAATGAAATTCAAATACATGACATATAAAACATCCCTCTCCAAATTAATCATTTTTATTTTCCAACAGCTCCCAGGGTCAAACCACTACTTACTTCTTAGTCCTTCAAACTGTCTCTTACCTTCTCTGAAATCCTAAAACTGAATCTGTTCCTTCTAAGTGCTCACTGACACCTCATGGGAACCCCAGAACACACAGAGCCCAAAGAAAAAACTCTTTTCATTGATTAAAAATTCTACCAGATAGGTCCCGAAGTGACAGAGATTTTTTTTCCCAGTGTTAAGGAGACAGATGAACAACTGAACATTAGATTTGGGAGATCCAATGTTACAAGGACCTAATCAGTAATGTTTTCTGAAAAGGGAGAACTAGTAGAAACTAAGCACTACAAATCAAGGCACAAGAACATGGGTTTTAATTTACAATTTAACAGAGTTGGCAATGGGAACGTACCCTAACAAATTTAATTCCAAGTTTATGAAGACGAGGAATAGAAGGAAAATGAACATGAGAAAATGCTCATTATGCCATTTAGAAGGTCAAAATACCATTTCCCTTCTCAAAGAGTCAAGCATCCCTAAGTCTGCTATTTCAAAGCAATTACTGACTGCACTTCAGGCTGTATTTCCTTATACATTTAACTCTAAGCCTCAAATTCTATTATCCTCACAAGGTTTGGTGGCCTTAAGTCTTAACCTGTTGACCACTCTCTTGGTATTCTACAAAGCCTAACTAAGTAGAGAAGTCAATAATGGCCACGTTAACGGAGGGCTTGACATCACCTTCCACAATACCTTAAATCAGGATTGAATATTTCTGGCCTTTAAAAGTACACTAAATATCCTCCTTGTTCATTAAAAACACTCAAGTTAGTTTTCATCTTGAGAGGTGTGCCTGACATCTTAACGACTGTGGCATTTGTGTAAGCTCCCATCTATTCAAGAACTGTTTGCCAGGCACCTGCTATGGTGGGGGGAGGGGCTAGGGAAAAGAACCCGAAATACTGCCCTCCAAGCAGCAAACATCCCAGGCAATTCTACAAAGTAAGCCTTGAACTCTTGGATATCTGGAGGTTACTACCGGTTTTCTGGGGGCCCAAATACAGGTAAATACTATTTTGCTATTTTGAAAACCGTCCTTAATGAACTTTCTATTACCAGGTGCAAATGCTGCAGTCAGCTGAGCGTACTGAGGGGGGCAGGTAATCTGTACAGCACTTAATGTTTTTCGCTGCAGCCTTAACTGGAGGGTCCCCTGATATGGCAAAACAAATCGAAGGGTGGGGGTAACACCCTAATCCTATTGCAGGTGGAGTCACAGAAATCTTATCGTGTGATGGAGCAAGTTCTGACCCCACATCAACACACGTCAAACTATGACATCAGATTTCTTCAGTGCTGGTTTATCTTTAGTATTTAAAACGGGACACATAATCCCACTCAATCCACAAGTTTCCAGTCTGTAACTGCGTTTTAAAGCATCAATGGTCGTCTCCTCCTCCTCCTCCTCCCAAATCCATTCAGATAAATAAGATGGTATGGACTTTATGCTCCAAAAGCAGCACCTGGAACGATCAGAGATACAACTAGAAAGCTTTAAGGCGGCAGGCAGCTTTATTCCCGGTTTGGGGAGGGAAATCCCCGTGTAAATAAATGTTCCTGAAGAAGGGAGCTGAGGACTAAGTGCTGCGGGAGGAGAGCGCGAGTGTGAGCAAGTGGAGGCTCACGCAGCCTTTCTAGCGGACTAAGGCGGGGCAAACACTCGGCTCTCCCATTCAACTTTGAAGGTGTCACGTTGTGAGGAGAGGGGACGTTCCAGGCTCGAAAGGCTAAGGAGCTACCTCTCTGTGTTTACTCGTGAGTTACATGTCAACCCGGGAGGCAGGAGGAGGGAGGGAGGACACCCTCTCTAACTCTCCCACAGCCGGGATCAGAGTCCAGCCAGCGGCCGGGGGGCCGCGGCCTGAGCAACAGGAGAGCCCAGGC